AGCCTTGCTTGGGAAATTGAGTAATGCAAAGGAAATTGGTAAATGCAAGTTTTAGTTTTATGAATTAGTTTGTTAAATTAATGTTAATTGGGTTGTCATGAATAATTATCCCTGAAAATAAGTAGTTGGGAGTAGGGCGTTATTGATTGTACACTTCTCACTGTATTGTTTATAATTGAAAATGCTACGACATGGTTGAGTATTAGATTGCGTCATGGTATATTCATATGTATATTACTTGCATATAATTATTGGGAACTCTTGTAGTAAAAGAATCCAACGAATAAGCCGAGGTTTGGCTTCCTTCTTAGATAATAAATACTTTAATGAAGCATGATTTGCGTAGACAAATATCTTAGCCCCAATTAAATAAGAACAAATTTTTTCAATGTAAAAACAATTGCCAACAATTCTTTCTCAGTGGTTGCATAGTTCAGCTGTGCATCATTGAGAGTTATGGTGACAAAATAAATGACCTGGGGAAGCTTGTCTTTTCGTTGTCCAAGATTGCCCCAATTGCATAATCTAATGCATCACACATTAATTCTAAACGGTAAGCTCCAGTCCTAGGTTGGAATAATAGGGGCCAAAGTGAGGAGTATCTTCAACGTGTTAAATGCCTCTAAACAATCCTTATCAAAGTTAAAAGTTGCATACTTAGCCAATAAATTACACAAAGGTTGGCTAATCTTGGAGAAATCCTTGATGAACCATTGATAAAGGTTGGCCAATCAATTCCCTTGCTTGAAATCAAGTGACCTAGAACAATACCTTACTTAACCATGAAGTGACAATTCTCCCACTTCAAAATCAAATTTGTCTCTTGATATCGTTGAAGTACCGAAGGCATTGATCAAATAAATCACCAAATACTGAAAAATCATCCGTAAATACTTCCACAATATGCCTAACCAAACAAGAGAAAATACTCATCATACAACGTTAAATAGTGGTTGGTGCATTATATAACCCAAATGGCATCTGTCAATAAGCAAATGTTCCAAAAGGACAAGTAAAAGTCATCTTCTCTTGATCTTCAGGTGCAATTGGAATCTAATTGTACCCTGAATAACCATCTAACAAATGGTAGAAAGCTCAACTAGGAACCTCTCCAACATTTGATTAGTAAAAAGTAAAGGAAAATGATCTTTTCTTGTACTTGAATTGGGCTTCCTATAATCAACACACATGCGCTAGCCAGTAATCAAACGCGTTAGAACCACCTCGTTGTTATCATTCTTTACCACTGTAATTCTAGTACACTTAGGTACAACCTATGTAGGACTCACCCATTGGCTATTTGAAATTGGATAAATCATACCAGCATCTAGTAGTTTCATTACTTCAGTTCGAACCACACCCTTCATGATTAGGTTAAGGCGTTTTTGAGCATCAACTGTGGGTTCCACGCCTTCTTCCATTAGAACTATGTGCATACAGATGGCTAGGCAGATTCCCTTTATATCTGGAATAGTCCACACCAATGTATCTTGATATTTTCTCAACACTTAAGCAATTTTTCCACTTCACAATGTGTTAAATCTGTTGTAACTATAACTGGCAATATCTGGTCAGCCCATAAAAGTGCGTATTTCAAGTGTTCGGGCAAAGGCTTCAGCTCCAATTTGGGTGGCTGAATTTTGGACAATTTTAGTGGTTGTTTGGGTTCTCCTAAACTCTCATAAACATGTCTCCATTTAGGCAAAAATGTAGGCACACTGTCTAAAGCTTGAATAACTTCCATGACCTCTTCATCATCTGTTTCTGCATCAAAATGCCCATATAAAATCTACTGCAATGGATCCTCTATTAAATGAGCCAAAAAATTTGCATGAACAAACCCATCTAAAACATCAATACGTACACAATCAAGCTGTTTTGTTGGCTTTCTGGCTACTTCAAACAAACTGAAAACTACTAATTGATCATGAACCCTTAGTGTCAAAGTACCAGCTTCCACATCAATAAATGAATTTTTTTTTTTTAGACAACAATAATTAACAAAAAATTATGATTAGGAAAAATTGTTTAAAAACAATCCTCGGCAGCGACACTAATTTCTTGATAGGATTTTTAGTACCTGCACAAAGAGGGTTAAAATCATACAAAATAATTGCAAGAGAACTAAGTAATTGTAGTAAAAATGCTCATGCAAAGTCGTTCCCACATGGATTATTTAAAACAATTTATGCAAAATCAAAATCTTAGTTAATTATCTGAAAACAAAGATTTGAAAGGATTAATTTTGAATTTAAATATAATAAAAGCGAATTTAAGAAAAGTAATTTAGGAAAAATAACTAGTAATCAATTAAGAAGAAATCAGATAAAAAGAAAAGATTTTGAGAAATAAATTTGGAAAAGCACTAGGGTTCCGATGTCCCCTTAACAATCCTATGTAGATTTATTAATTACTTATGAATTATCCATGCAACTTTGAAGGTTAGGTTTTCCTAGTGTATATTCTACTTGTGGCATTCAAGATAGAACGTATATCAAACATGCATGACTCATTATGTTTTGTGAAAACCCTTTAAAAATCCATGTAACCCTTAAGATGTGGCAGTCGTTCTAAGTGAACGATTATTAACCACAAGAAGCATTCCTCAATTTCAGGGTGACATTCCAACAGAAATTGCGTCTGATTACTTAACTAAACATCCTAATGGTAGCTAAGCATTAAGACACAAAGACAGTTTAAACATAGTGATTAATAATTCAAAGTATGCTTGTATAATATCATAAGCAATTAGATAAAGACTACATATTCATGCTAAGGCTCATGGCCTCATCCTAGCCAAAAAAAGTTAGTTATGCATATTCATAATTAAAATCAAAAAAGTTTTATTAAAATAGAAAAAGAGTGAAAACACCTTGGAGAATAAAGTTTGAAAATCTCTAAGCTTTTGCCAAATTCCTCTCTCCAATATCGGGTAAAAGAAGAAGAACTAGGGCCGACCAAAAGGCTTATTTATACTACATAGAAAATCCAATCCTTCCTAGGAAAGAACTTAGAATAAAACTAGGAAACCAAATAAATTAGGTAACATAATCCTAAATTGACTAGGATAATCAACTTAAAATCTGCACAGCCACGTTTTAGATGCATATCTGCTCCAAAACCAGACCAAAAGAGTTGGATTTAAAGTTTGGAATATTCTAAACACTTCTCTAAAAGGCCACAAACCCATCAGAAGTCATCTTGGGCTCCAAAAATCGCAATTAAGCCCAAAAACGTCACTTTCCAACAACGTGCACTGCTCCTTTATTTAATCGCCAGAAAATAACCGCTTGGTAGAAATTGCTGAAATTTTGTTACAAACAAGCTAAGGAACACAGGAATGTCCTTCAATTTGAATTACTTCAAAATTCGTTGTCACTCCAGAAGAAGTCGAATGTCCTATGTTGAGAATATAAAGCAAAGTATTAAAATTATACCAAAATAATTACTAAAATATGCTAAGAGTAAGGTAAAATATATAATATGAAATCGACTCATCACCATTCGAATCGAATTAATAGGATAATCAGGGTGGTGAGCCCTAAGCTTAATGATTTGAGGTATTAGTTTCGCAAGGTAGCATTGCATATGGACAGTAAGTAGATATGTGACCAACATGTCAATGTATTAAACAACACCATAAAGTATATGAAGGTCCACATGTTGGTTGCATATGTCCACAAATATCCCCTTGAATCCTCGAAAGAAACTTAGAAGGGTTGTGAATGATCTTTGTAGCAGAGGGTTGAGTAATCAACTTCCCCAGTGAGCATGCTTTGCAGGAAAGATGTCCAAGATAAGAGTTCAAACTTTGAGTTAGAGGATGCCCGTGTGATACTTTGAGGATACATTGCATCATATCTCATCTTGGATGTCCTAAACAGTCATACCAAAGCAACGAAGTGCTCTGGAACTCGGACACATGGCCAGCCACGTGATGGGTCTCAATGGCTCAAATGGTTGTTATGTACAAACCACTCAGGAGACGTTCCAGCTTCTTGTGAATATGCTTCTAGCCATATTCATAAGAAGTGATACAAAGAAATTTAGAACCATTTTCTCCAGTGGTTTCAATATAATTTTATTATCCAAATATCTCTAAAGCTCAATAACATTCTTCCGGAACCGGGAGAATAGAAGGCCTCTTGGGGGGAGGGGGTTTTTGGACACTAAGGGGAATCCCTCCCAAACATGTCTCGAAAAATAAACTTATTCTTCCATAAGAGTGGATGCTTCCTAAAAATCTAAAATCTCCATGGTGGTGGTGGGAATTTTCCACATGTGCAAAATTAGTCTCCCGATGGGAATGATACTTGGCAATGACCTCAAGATTAGCTCGGCATATGCGTGACCAATGTTCCCTTGATCCACAACAATAGCACATGTCCAATTCAGTGGAATCTGATTGAACGGTATCTTTTCCTTTGTTCTTGAAGTTAGGGGCCTTAGGGACGAGGGCATTGCTCTTATGGGTCGAATTTCCTCCCTTGGCAAGGCATTTGCTCTGTTGACCTTGAGCTCGTGGCTGGGATTGCTTCCCATTTCCACGGCCACAATGGTTATTCTGTTGTTTGTGGCTAGTAGAATTAGTCGTATGCGCTTCATGCATAGCATTTGATGTTGAGCTTGTTGGCAGGGCCTTTGCTCTGTTGGCTTTGCTCACTCCCAAAAGTGGCGGGGATGCTCACCCCCTCATTAATTGCGGTTAAATTAGTTTGATCTAGTTGATTTAAGACACGAATTTCGAAATTTAAACTAATCTAACGACAATCAATGAGAGTATAAGCATAACCCTCACTTTAGAGGTGAACAAAAATGCATTCTAAAATAAATAAATAAAAAAGGATGAGCTTCCATGCCTTGACCTGGAGATTGTTGTTGCATATTAGCATGCCATGTTGCAAATTCCAAATTCTGAACAATACAGTATTAACACAAATAAAGTTTTCTATAATATATAATGCTTTCTGGATAAAAAATAATAATAATAATAATAATAATAATAATAATAATAATAATAATGCTTTCATTGCAATACTTCTTCAGTGCGCATGAAATTAACTTTATCACAGATTAATTTGGTTAACAGCACTTTCTTGCCCACTTCCTAGCCACATACCCCATACTTGTTCATATTTCTAGGTAAATTATATAAATATCACCGTATTACAGTAAATCTCAAAAATTTAGTTGACTAGTCTGCAATTTTTCCTGATCTCTCCATTTGTCCCTGTTAGAGGACTAATAGCGCTCATCTTCACCATGGCTGCAGCAAAATCTCTTGTAAAAGCCGCAACGTTGTTGCTGTAAGTTCTAACCAAGGCATCCTGACTCCCACCATTGAAGAGTTCCTGGTCCGAATGGAGAAGACCACGGCGAGCCACAAGGGCCTTGTAGTATTCATTATCAAAGCGATTCGGAGTTATATCGAAAGGAGCTAGATTCGTATCGCCACCGGAAGCTGGACAAGTACGCTTACGAGTAGTTGCAAAGGCAGGGTCGATGTTGGTCTCGTTGTATATGCGGGTTTTGAAGGATGAACACTGAGACTGGCCTAATGTGTGGCCGCCAGAGAGCACGGTCATGTCTGTGGCGGTTAAACCTTTAGCTGCAAAGTTTGAGATCAGGGTTGCGAGGTTAGCGAATGGGGAGGGGAGCTGGTTGTTGGCGTCAGTTTGGCTTGCGGTTCTGGCGTCTCTTCGGCCTAGGGCTACTGTCCATGAGGTTCCTCCAAGCTGCACACAGAAACAAACGACAAGTCCTCATGTCAATATTATCACGTGATCAATATCTGATAACCCCAGAGAGAATTGAATATATTTTTGAAGGTATGTGATTACGATGTGGAGTGCATTGTATCTATGCAAAAATGGGTGGGTCAATCATTGACTATCTGAAATTTTAAAAAATGTACGTAGCAGCTGGTTAATTTGTCCCCATGCATGACGAGTTGCAGCAATATCAGACTAAAAGCCAGAAAATTGGGGCCATAGTTGAAAGTTCCACACTCGTCAAAAAGAGAAAAAAAATAATAATAATTTTCAAGAATCATTAACTTTTTTTTATCAAGTTACTCTTCTTCAAAAATAAATATATAAATAAATAAAATATATAAGAAAACTTTAATTTTAATAAAGTTGGATTGAACTCATGTAGCGTGAATGTGACGAACACACTGTTTTAGCTATTAGCAACGCACTTGCAATGTAGTCATAAGTTTTTTTTTTTTTTTTTTTTTTTGGGTTAAAGTCATAAGTTAAAATTGATTGTATCAGTTGTGGTTAAACTAATATTGTGATTTATAGACCATATTAAGCATAAAGTCTTAATTGGTCTATTTGATAATTGATATGTGCAGATCGAGTATTACTATATATAGTTGTTTATATATATAGACACACACACATCCAATGAAAGTACATAGCTTGAGTAATACTTCACAAGGGTTTTTATAGGTTTTGTTGGGAAAAATAGTTTGTAGAATAGCAATAGAAAACTAAATATGGCTAATTTTCTGCAAAAGAAAGCATGCAAAATTAGCATCGTTGCAGTTACTAACCAAGACAACACCGTCTCTTGCTGCAAGTGCTAAAATATCTGCACATGACACAGTAGCATTACAAGCAGCTTCAACGCGAGTTTTAATGGTGTCAATGACTTCAAAGCCCCTAGCTGAGTTCCGGTTTGGGAATGCATTCTTTTCGCCTGTGAAGGTGGTCGTGTCGTCCAACAGTATGGAAGCGTCGCAACCCTACAATTAATAGGCAGAATCAGAAAGTCGTGAATCAAATTAATCAGCATATATACGTTGTGTGACAAGAAAATATTTTTGTACTATATATTCTCACATTTACGAAGCAGTCGTGGAAAAATAAACGAAGGATAGAGGCAGCCATCCGACCCTCCCTAGAAACAGCTTGCCTCATAGCATTGCGAACGATGGTTGGAAGAGTTGGGCAAGTTCTTGCATAAAAATTGGCCGAGAGCTGTGCATTGACACAACAGCTAAAGAAAGGGACGATGAAGAGTACTGTAATGATGAGGAAATGGGATAGAGAGGCCATTATATTATATGATATGAGCTTCAATATTAGAGCTGAATATATGAAGCGGCTTGCTTTGCGGTGTGAGAAGGTGGTTTGAGGACGCACTCTATATATAGAGTAAGAAATTGTGCATTGCATGCATGAGAGAGAGGCCGTTTCGTTTCTGGTGAAGTTGGAAATTCAAATTTTGCTGCTTGATTAACGCGTCTACTTGCTGGGGTATGGAGGAACAGCATCGAGCTAGCTCCAATACAAAAAAGAAAGCATCCCACCAATAAAGCAGGGTTGACTTCTTTACACCGATGATCCAAATGCATGTAAAACACGAAGACAAAAAGCAAAAATCCACGTACTACGATGATTAAATAATCATTAGGACTCAATGTGTACCTTCAATATATTTTGAAGAGAGACTTTTCTTTTCTTTTTTGTCTTTTTTTTTCTAATTTTTAATTTTTTATGGAAAATAGTCACTTTTTTTTTTTTTTTGGTTAATCAGAAATGTATGACCTTTTTTTATTAAATTGGCAAATGGATGACAGCCATTTCAGCAACGAGCAAGCAAAATAGGATAAACCAAATATTGACCCACCAATAGATATCAATATCGAACAATATTTGACTACTCAAAAATGAGTAGAAACTCCCACTTAAAATTTCTCAAAATTGTTCATAGTCCATTTATAGACTTCGTGTTTATAATTAGAACATTTCATATTATAAATCACCTTATAAATATCACATCTGCAAAAAGTCAATTAAAACTAAAGTCGCTTAGTCATAAAACTGTTTAAAAACAAATTAACAGTATTTGTAAAAGCATTATGAACCGTTTATGTAATTGCTACAATAGATTGATGAAACGACCTTAGTTTTAATTTATTTTTTACATAGATGATATTTACAGTATTATTCAGAATATGAACGGTTCTGACCATATGCACAAAGCTCTGTGATTAAAACACTAAGAATTTTGAGTAGGAGTTCCTACTCATCTTTGAGAAACCAAGTACTGACGATAAGGACAAAACAAAAGGTAAAGTGAATAGTATCAGAATTGACTTTTTAATGTAAAAATATGACTTTTTGTTAAAATGAACAATACGAGGAACTTTTCGTTAAAGTTCCCTAATTATTATGAGACACGAAGTTGCTGCCTCATGGATTAAATCCATTTCCGTAGAGGTACTTACCGAGTCCATGGTCACTTATTCTCAAGTTGATACCTATTGTTATTATTATTAAATTTGTTTGGAAAACAGTGAATTTCGTTGAACATGATCAAATACAAGATTTGAAGTTGACACCTACTTAAACACGCTACTTTTTTATAAAAATAAATAAATAAACAATATTGTTCAATAATTATGGGTTTGTTTGGTACAAAGGATTAAATTGGAATTGGCCTCTCCAAATTCAAGGCATGTTGAAGATAGAAGAGTATGATTTTTTATTTTGGGAGATTAAAAGAGGATTAGGCATGAACATTTAATCCATCTATTTTGAGGACGGTTGGACTGACGCACCCCGATCGGAATCGAGGCATGCTGGCCATCACGTGAGGGTGGCGTAGCCAAGTGTGCAACATAAGTGATAATGATAAGAAAAATGTGAATAAATAAAAACCAAAACTAAACATATTTAACTAGAGATACTATGTAAGTGTGAAGTGATCAATTATAAGATACACGCATATCAGAGCATAGGTAAAACGAAAGTGCAGTCAAACTAACTAAGTACTAATTATACAAACAGGGAGAAGATCCCTACTTTTATTTATGGAACCGTCAGAACCACCGTGTAGTCCTCGTGAGCCACCAAAGATGATCAGCTACCTAGAACCTGGAGGGAAGCAAAACAGAAGGGTGAGTGGGTAAAAACAAAGTGTTGGAAAACATATTTAGCTTTATGAACATAATAACTCCTCTCTGTAAAACCCTTATAGTTTCCAGAAAATACTACTACATAGGTACGAAAAATCGATGCACAAGGCCAGCGAAAACTGAAGTATATGCCATGTCATAATATTTCAACACTAACAGATGTAAGCCAGGTGTGAAACCAATATAAAGTAGTATGCCAACCGGAGTCACCTAACGTGACCTGTATGACTAGGCCTATAGCTCATCAACATATGTCTGCACACGAGTCGGAGTCACCTATTGTGACCTGTAAGACAGGCTGGGTGTAAATAAGTACGCTCAAGTGCTACGATCACGTGAAAGTTGTGCAATAGATCGTGAGACACCTACGAGTTGGAACCACCTATTGTGGTATGTACGACAGGCTAGCACCAAAACTTGGATCCAGGGTGAGCATGCGATGCGGGAGGTGAACAATCACGTGAAACCTAAGCCCTGACCTCGGGCGGGAACACTAAAACCGGGGAGTAGCATAATAAGCTCTAAATGCATAAATGCATAGCAACATGCAATGCAACAAGACCAATCACATGCTAGCTCACCTGAAGCTTACCTGAGCCTCCGCAGCATCAAATAATATAATTCACAATTCATACTAATGCAACAATATAGTAATAAGCAGTATAGACATGGCATACAAGCATAAATTCATTTAAAAATGTTTTCTGAAAATCGTAAAGCATATATATAGAATACAAATGCCCACTCACTGATAAATAGCAGGATCGTAGCCCCCTTGCATCGCTTGTCCACGCTCGTCCTCAAGGTACGTCTCACCTATATGCGATACAACTATGTTATTGTTAATTCGATAGCGCATAAACAAAGCCTAGCATTAATTCCTCATACATTGCTCAAATGGGGTGTTTGAATATACCAACATGATCTACTCAACAACACGAACACCTCCATATTTTTAAAAGAAAATTTGGATGCCGGCCACGCACAGGCACGTGTTTGGCACACAAGACGGAAACCCTAACGTCGTTAGGGATATTTCGTTAAAATAGCAGAATATTCCATTAAATTCTAACAGTGTGACCTGACGTCACTAGGATATTCCATCAATTTTGACGAAATATTCTTTCTTCTCCGGTGGACCTCGCCGAACTCCGCCGTCCACTGCCATCTAGTTCACCGGTTTCTAGAAAATTTTCAAAGCTTAATATCTACTTCATTTCTCAACCAAAATTTATGAAATCTATATGGATTTGAAGGTCTTGAAGAGCAGGACACGTTCATACCTATTAGAAGTCCAAAATCCAACAAAAAATGGTCGAAAAATCCCTCGACAGCTCCGGCCAAAACTGGAGTTCCTTGAAACCGTGTGATCCAAGTCCTAAAACCTCTTAATCTTACCGAGATCACGTCGGAGAAACTTTGCTCCTCATCGGATCTCGCGAGTTAACAGGTTAGCTCACCAACTCAGAAACTAAGGGTACCACTAGGTTCGTGAAGTCAAAATGATAGTGTTGGTGGTGATTTCCAGTTCGATCCATGCCGATTCAAGGTGTAAGTGAGCTGGGGGGGTGTCTCGGGTGCAAGAAAAAGAAGGAATATGAAGTCTTGAGAATGAGAGATAGAAGGAAAAATGAGTGTAGTGAGTGAGTGTGTGTGTGTGTGTGTGTGTATTCTGATTGGCTAAGAGAGAGAGAGAGAGAGCTAATTTTAATTGGCCCAAAAGAAGAAAAAAAAATTATCTAATTGGGCTAAAAGAAATAAGAGCCCATATAATTGTGGAAAATTATCTGATTGGGCTAAAAGAAATAAGAGCCCATATAATTGGTCCACAATTTGCTCATTTACGCACCTAAATAATCGTTACCTTTTGCTTACGAATTCGATTCAGCCCTAACTCATGTTAACGCGCTCGTGACATCGAGTATGATTTAATTACAACAGAGAGGAAATAATTTAAAACTACATATGTACATCCACGTCACTAAACGAACGAGGGCAATATCATTACTTTACACACTAGGAGAGAAAATATATATAATAATTTGGGACAGGTCATCACAGTCTACCCCCCTTAAGAAAATTTCGTCCCCGAAATTTCTACACATCAATAACCATAAAACAGACGTGGATACAGGTCTCGTATACACTTTTTAGTTTCCCAAGTGGCCTCCTTAACTGAATGCTTCCTCCACCAAACTTTCACCATACGAACGGTCTTGTTTCGAAGAACCTTATCTTTCCAATCTAAGATCATCACCAGTTTTTCATCGTAGGTCAAATCTGGATTAATCTCCAGCAGCTGAGGAGAAATTACATGCAATGGATCAGAGACATAGTGACAAAGCATAGACACATGGAAAACGTCATGTACCTTTGATAACTCTGGAGGTAGCTTAAGCATATAGGCAACTTCACCAACTCGCTCGGTGATCTAATAAGGTCCAATATGGCGAGGATTTAACTTACCTTTCTTACCAAATTGTACCACGCATTTCCATGGAGATAACTTTAGAAATACCCAATCTCCAACTTTATATACTCTGTCAGTGGCATGTTTATCGGCGATACTCTTCTGTCGATCCTGGGCCACTTTCAGGTTATCTTTAATCACCTAAATATTCTGCGTGGTCTCATCCACAATCTCAGGTCCCACTAGCACTGTCTCACCAACTTCAGACCAACATAACGGGGTACGGCATGGTTTACCATAAACCACCTCAAAAGGTGACATGCCAATGCTAGAATGATATTTGTTATTATAAGCAAACTCAATCAAAGCTAAACGCTTATGCCAAGCATCGCCAAACTGCAAAACTAAGGATGTCAGCATATCTTCTAGCGTCTGAATGGTTCTCTCAGATTGTCCATCCGTTTGAGGGTGATAAGCCGAACTATAAAGCAATCTCGAACCGAGAGCTTCCTGGAAAGCTACCCAAAGTTTAGAAGTGAACCTGGAGTCCTGATCAGAAATGATACTCACCGGAACACCATGATATATGACAATTTTTTAAGTGAATTGTTCTACTAACTGACTTAACGAGTAATTTTTTCAAACGGGTATGAAGTATGCTGACTTGGTGAGTCAATCAACTATCACCCAAATACCATCATAACCATTCTGGTACAAGGTAACTTGTATATGAA